GGTTAATACATTGCCAGGTTGTGAGAGGCTACTGGCCTGTCTAGGTTTGTGCCTGGTAAATTCTTTGTGTGGTCTGAATGCAAAAAAGGGATATCACATGCTGCCACTACAAAGGAAGCCAACATACAGCAAATCCAACCCTTAAGACAGTGGATAATTTCTGATCCTTTGGCTATGTTTGATGAGCAGTTCAGATCTGGTTTCCAAGCACTGTGGTTCCCACAGGACTGGCAGCGCCCACCTAACACAGGAGTCCCTGTGGTATGGTAGGCTTTGGGGTTGCAGACCCCAGCACAAGCCCAGCCAACCTGTGCTCCATAGTGAGTGTGGGAGAGGGACCCTGCTCTTGTCTATGAAGATCTTCGTCCTGCTTCAGATCTTCCTGGTCTGTCCAGTGGCTGTTGGCTGTAGGAAAATGTTGGCATTTTGGGGACACATGATGCAGAAAGGCTGGTCAGACCTAATGAAGGATTAAAACTCCACTCTATCGAAGGAAGGAAAGGTCTGCTGAGCTTTGCAATGTCTCTGATAAAGACCCTGCAATTTTCACAGATCAGGAAGTTGGATAGTCTTTGGGCAAGAGAGACACTGGTATTACACTGGGCAGATTTTGCTTTCCCAGCTGTCCCATGGGCTTTCAGGAGCAAGTTGGTCTGTGGCTGTCAGCCAGAAAAGCACTTAGATAGGAACACACCTCTCACTCCATGGATCATCCTGCTGAATTTTTTAGGGCTCCTTATGCACTTCCAGGAAACAATGTGCTTTGTCTGGCTCAGTCCAGCATCTCTCTCAAGTCCCCATTTGCGTAAAGCTCTTTCACATCCCTTGAAGCCATATTAATGTTCTGGATGGGACAGGGACTGCACTCCTTGCTTGAGTCATGAACATGCTTTCAAAAATGAATGAGTAGAGTGTGTTTCTGCTGAAAATTAAAAAGCACCATTCTTTTGGGTTGTGAGAAACATGAGCATCGGAGAAAGGAGAGCTGTGCCTACACACTAGTCCAGTGCTAAACACATATACTCTTGTTTACTCCCTGAGTAATCTGACTTGGAGATCAAAGTTGGCAACACTGGAGAGGATCAGCATGTGGCTGAAAACAGCAGATGGGTGCAGAGGAAGATGTAGTGTGCACCCTTTTTCTTATGGATGGTTCCCAGAGCTCCAGCAGTGGCACTGCAACAGCAGCATGAGTGACGGATGGGTCAAGTGGAAATGTCAGGACAGAAGATCTTGTGGAGGTGACAGAGGCTAGCATAAGTATCTATCAGCTAAGGACAGCCAGGGATTAGGACATGAGACAAGAAATGTCCTGATGGGGGCATGGCTAGCTCTGTGGTGCAGATAATACCTAAACACAGGGAACAGAGGAAACCCAGCAGTAGGCACGTGAGCCAGACAGTGACCATTTCAGAGCACACTGACTTTTGCTTAATGCTGCTGTGGGGCAGATGAAGCAGCAAGACAGTAGCTATGTGGACATATTCAAGGCCACCCAGCATCAGTGTGAGGAGCTAGGTGCCTGCCTGGGAAGCACAGAGGGTGTCATGGTAAATCCAAAGGCACATGTTCCTGTTACTGAAGGACTTCAGAGAGAAGCCACCAGGACAAGAAACCAGTCTGCTAATCTGACATGGTCAGAGACCATGTGGCTGAAGGTTGAATGAAATTACAGGAGACCATTTGGATCAATGATGGCATTCTGTGAATAATTTTCTGAAGGATTTAACTTTCACGTGGGTAATAAAACTCCGCTGTAGGTCATTAGAAAAACTATTCCCATCATTTGCTCATAATGATGTAACTGGAGGAAGTAACTGTCACAGGATTTCATGAAGGATGGATGCTCTGAGGCTCTAAGAGGAAGGTAAATGAGACAACAGGGTCTGCAGAGGAACACATGAGAGCATGATCCAGTGGCCACAATGTCTGGCTCTGTGGGCACTGCTGGAGTTGACTAAGTATGTAAATTGGCCTGTTGTTACGCTAACAGGCAGAGGCAGTGTGCAGTGGACTTGCACCCTTGTGTGCATTTGTGTCAAGAGGGAGATGACATTCAACAGTGTGCAGTAGTTCTTCAGGTCTGTCCTCTCTTACTGGCAAATTTGTGTCCTGGTGGCAGCCACTTAGACATGCATGCAATTTAGAACTGTGATTAAATTTTTTGGTTGAGGCTTTTAACATTATTTAAAATAACAGAATCATACAAAAACACACAGGAGGGAACTTCAGGAGGTCATGCAGACCACTCCTTGTCCCAAGGTAGGCTAATTGCACCAGAGTCACTTATGATGTTGCTCAATAATATATCCCTAAGGCTTTCCAACACTGGAAGGTCACAGTATCTTCAGGGAATTGTTTTCTCTGTTTTACTCTCCCACTGCTGAAAAGGTGGTGGGAATTTTGTTCATCATATCTGATTTGAATATTTCTTTCTGGAATTTAAAACATGGTTGCAGGTGCTATTATCCACATATAGGCACTGAAAACAAAACACTCTCATTTATGGACTGCTCCCTCACAAAAAAAAGATAACTGAGTTGGAGACATCCTTGCCATAGAAGAAAATCAATGGGGAAACCAAGCTTCTTCCAGCAGCACTGTACTGACACAGAAACCAGAGATGGCTGAGTAAGGAGATCAGCACGAAACACCCAGATTATACAAATGAATAGGCTGAAATGTTGCAGGACTTAGCAGCTCTTTGCCAGATATGGGTGTCTGAGGGACAGCTTATTCCATCAAACCTGTAATGGGGGTCAGAGAACCCAGAGGAGGGATGTGACAATCAGGGGGATTAGCCCAATGGACTAAGAGTAGTTTAGGAGAAGAAAATGAGAGCAAAAATGCTTAACAGGGTGCTTTGGGAAGAGTATTTTACAAGAGCATTTTACTCATTTTACAAGACTCAAAGGCAAATTCAGGATCCTTAAGTGGTGTTAGAGACAGATCTGTGAGATGTCTCCTACAAAAAATGGTCTATGGAACATCTATTATGCACAACAACTGTGGGTAAATGTTGGCCATTGTTTGTTTTGCTGTGCAGGATGAGGGAAGATGGATCTTCTGGCAGCAAGGGGAGGAGGTGTGTGGTTGTGGAGTGGCCCAGCTCTGCATATGTCATGGCTCCAGTATTCCCAAAGAGGCACTTTCCTTGGGGACTGAAGGGGCCAAGCTGAAGCAGGAGCATGGTGACTTTTTGGCAGATGGGAACAGAGATGTACAGTGCTCCTGCCTTGGTGCCATGGTTGAGTCTCAGAGGCTCTGACTGCTAGCAGGAACTCACTGAGGAGAAGGAGGCAGGGGAATCACAAACCCATCATTGAGTCTCTTTTCTGCAACCCATCCCCAGCACTAACCATATTTGAAAATACAGCTTCCAGGCTTCTTTTACAATGGTTTCAAATAACAATCTTAGCTCTAGAGAGAATTATTTTGCCAGCTCTATTTTCCCCTGGCTTTGAGTTTGCCATTGACGTTAATTAGGACTTCCTGAGCCTCGTTAGCCTGGCGTTTTCCTTTGTTACTGAGAACAGCGAAGGTGACCTTGCTCGCTAGGTGGATTTTCTCAGCTCTGACAGTCTAATCATTAATGTCTTAGGAACAGAGGCAGGGATCTTACACAGGGAAACTTGAGAAGAGCTATAAAAACATCATGTAGACAGCTGTCAGTGTCAGCTGGCATAGCTCCAATAATTCAAAAGTAGAGATGTTTCTGATAACTCATCGTATTCTCACACAACATATGCTATTTATCACATATTTTTGTTGCATAATAAGAAAATACAACAAATACATACATGTGTAAGCTCAGTTGCAAGTGGTTGAACTGCGTATACTGAGACTAATAACCAGCAGTTGATAATCTCCATTTTATTATCCAGAAAAGTGGAACAGTGACCAGCACACTGATATATGGTGATCTGTTTTCAAATGATGGCTTACAGCATAGCTTAAGTTATTTTAGTGGCTTCACTCTAACCCCCACCTGTACAGTCACGATATTGTAGAATCATTGACAACTGTAAGCAGGAAGGGACTTCTGGAGGTCATGTATTCCCATTCCCTTCTCGAAGAAGGTTCAACCAGAGCAGGTTGCTCAGGGTCATGTCCAGTCAAATTCTGAGTATCTCCAAGGATGGAGATGACACTACCTTGCTGGGCAACCTGGTCAATAACTGACCAGCCTTATGACAAAAAAACCCCACCAGCATGCTTAAAATACGAGTGACAATTCTGGGAGAAGAGAAACCCAGGTAGGGAATAATTGAGTTCTGTCTCTCAACAACAGGTAGCACCAGAAGACCTGTGTGGATAAGTATGTTTCAAGCTGCTGTGATTGGTCTCACCTTCACAAGCTTTACATACACTAAGATTAAAAGAAGTATATAAACACAGGAAAACATAATATTTGCCTGAATCAAAAATAGTCTTTTTTTAACAGAGACTGTGAAAACAACATTTGTAATATGAAAGTGTCATCTGTCACACGAAGCAAGAGTTTGACAACAGAGGAGTCGTCACAAAGCATTCACATTGCGAAGGCACAGATGCTGTAGCAGAGCCAGCTGCACTAGTACCAGCCTTGACTTCTGGAAAAGGCAAACTGGGAGCTGCTGCTTTCCACCAGCAAGCACAGAAGGGTCGATTCTGTTCCTGACCCATTTGAATTGCACGCTTCAACATTTCTACCTCAGATTTCTAAACAACTGTATCCAGTGGGGTCCTGATCCTAGCAGGTACTTCTGACAGTTACTCAAGAATGACAAACACAGCTTGCAGATTTGCCACTAGCAGCTGCCACAAGCTACTGAAAAAGGCGGAATATTAAGGCTATACAAACCCAAAGCTGAGCTAGGAATATAAATGAAACACATGTTGCTGAACATGCTGCCTAACATCAGAAACACGAAACAACAGCAGAAAGCCATGCAATGTATTTTGGCAGAAGCGCGCAAACATTTCACAGCTTGTCCCCTGGATGCCATGCTCACACTTACGTTAGTCTGTGTCATACTACCTTAACTTGTTTTAAGCATTTCCATCATCTGTGAGGTAGGGAGGGAAAAACAGAATAGTTAAGGTATAATCAAATGAGATCTTGCACATCATAGTATAATTTGTAAACAGTCTCATTATTGGCGGTAGTGTGAAGTGTGAATGGTTTCTGTCTCAGTTTATCCAGACAGGGAACTTTTTGAAAGCCAGGTGAGTGATTCAATGGATTATTAAGGAGGTAAATGAAAAAAACAGGATTAACAGAGGAGAAATAGTGACAGAACATAAATGCACACATAAACAAGCAAAGAATTTTTGTGTCAGTAAGATGCATTTTTTTGCTGTCATGTCAGAATGAAAGCACCCAGTAACACCTTTTGATCAGTGGGCAATTTTAAACACTGTGTTTATCTAGCTACTTAAAAAATATCTGAAAGAAGATGCAAAATTGAGACACAAATACCTACAAATCATTACAATGAATTAGATCAAAGATAAAACTGTATCAGTTATCATTTCAGTATGTACAGATCTACAAAAGTCTTTCTGCTAGGGGAGAAATTGCAGTAATAAAATAAAAATTATAAATCTAGATTTTGTTGATATACTGCGGATAATTTTGGATTATACTTCCAAAATCATAGGTAGCATTTGAAAGACCCAGCCTACCAAATCCTTAGATACACTAACTTTCCTAATGGCTTAGATGTTAATGTTAGCCATACATTGTGCTTTTAATTATGCACCCACAGAAGACTGCTCCAGTGAGATCTTGTGCCCATAATGCCCTGAGAAAGCCCAGGGGAACTTAACAATACTTTGGATTTCAAAGTATCTTCAGTCATCTACTGCAATTTATTGTGAATTTACAGTACTATGTATAGTGCATAAACCTTTCACGTCTGATGAGGACAGATACTAAGTCATCCAGAAGCTGAAGGATTTTTATCAAGAAAAGAAGTGTACTTCTACATCTACACATTACACTACAGAACAGCTAAAAATCCATAACAAGATGGAGGAAACAAGATTACCTCCTGAGAAGGTGGCAGAGTAATCAATTGGCCTAAACTTCTGCTATTGAAGAGAAGCCACAAAGGAGATGCTAAAATATATAGAATTTGAGGCACTATCTTAAAGCAGTAATTTCTTAACTAAGAACACAGACCAATGATTCCACTATCAGTTGAAAACTGGTTTTGAAAAGAATTTAAGGACTTTAATGTGGATTTGAGATATAAATCACAAATAGTCAAAATATCATCACAGTTGTATTTTCTAGCTGGGTCTAATGCAGAAGAGCTCCAAAAAAACAGCAAAGACATGAGAAATAGCTGGAAATATCTAAATGCATTGATTACGTGATTGGCATGTCCCTGGTGAAAATAATCAATATATTAACTTTTTTGAAGAGTCACAGTAGGCAGTAAGGAAAAAAACGTTGGTGTATGTGTGTATATACTTTTTTTTGGAAAAAGAATTTGTTTGATTTCTGTGTTTCTTGAGAGCTGTGACTGTTTTGTATACTCGTCCTGGAGTGGCTCCATTGCCTTGTCTCTTATTATTTCAGCAATGAAACATGGAACAGATAGATGTGCTCAAAGATATGCACCCTGGATGAGTACTGAGATATAAAGCAAAGCAGCTGCCTCATTTATAATGCTGGGAAAAAGTGAGGTAAAATAGCTTATTAAACAAGTGATGGTGATTTTACTATACTGCTATTTGATTTTGATCCTTCTGCACTGCGAGAGCAAACGATCAGGAATCTGTAGTGATGTAATCATTCTTGGCTCTCTGTCTCCCTTCGGCACATCCTGGTTAAGTTGAACTGATGCTGTTTTGTGCAAATTAGTTGGCAGTTGTTACAATTCAGGACTACACCGATTGGATACACTCGGGAAATACCCTAGGAAAACAGAGCTGACAAAGGCTCCCAAGCGCTCCATGCTCTGCCATTCATCAGACAGACAAACTTTCCACAGGATTGCCCAAGGATGTCCCTGCCTGTCCAGCCCTGCAGGACACAGTCTGTGCCACTGCCTCAGGACATGGGAATGCACAGTCCCTTCCCTAGGATGCCATGGAGAAGACTCAGGGGAGCTCAGGCACTTATTGCCTGTCCTATGGGCCTTGGTTTAGGCTCACCATCCCCATGGAGATGAAGGCTTCATTATCATCCAATTAGCATAAAGCACATGTAAGTAGAGTCAATCTCATTGCTCAAGTGTCCTGGGGAATCTGCACAGGTTTATTGTCCTGGGCAACATCTCCTCTCTGCAGGAGGCACTCCTGCCACCCTCTTAGTTAAGGGATTATTTAAGTCATTTTTCTCCTCCATACTTAAGTGTTATGCAGCTGCAGTAGGAATAATTTCTGCCACTTCACTGGTTAATAGACAACATTTTCCTTTGGTTGGAGGTAAAATTCTTGTCCACCCTTGAGTTCCTTCTCGGCACCTTTCATTGAGGGATGTCCCTTTCACTGAGCTTGTCTTTCTGCATCAGCCTGGACTTCAAAATACACATATTATATAGGTTTCTAAGCAGGTTAAGTGTATATAGTACATGTCTGTCTCCTGAGCAAGTCCAGCCATGGGAATGACCCAGCACTCGTGGTGCCCTGGGAAGACTGATCCCCAACCCCTTTTCTTCACTAAACTGTGATGATGTGTGTGAGAGATACTGGCAGGCTTGTGGCCATCTGGGAATGTGCCCACATCCTTGTTTTTATTAGAACATTTCTGAAGTGAATTTCCCAGTTACTGTGCTTGTTCTAGCTGCTAGTGAGTAACCGTGGGGTCAAGCAGGAGCTCAGCCGGAATAACGTCCTTTCTCCATCATACCACTGGCAAGGACATCTGGCTCCCAGCACAAGCTGTTTCATGCTACAGTGCTGCTCCTATTGCTAATGTAGACATTGCCTGATTGAGTCCTGCTGACTTGATTGATTCTACTTAAATTAATGTGATTGTATGAAAAAAATTGATAGATCTGGCTCTAAGTGGCATTTACTCCACCATGCTATTTGGTATATAAATCAGCTGTTTGGGTTACCGTTTTGTTACCACTGTGAATTTAGCAAAAATCCATTAAAGTCAATAAAGAAAGTACATACTTACAGTGGAATAACTGATATTAGCACTTGACTGGTCTTATTTAGAGCAGCCTTGCTCTGGAGGTATTTTAAAGAGATTCTTCTGTCTTTTGGGATCCTTGAAGTAATCAAGTTCATTATAATCCCTTTCTTCCAAAATATCATATGAATTATGCATTTGGTTACATAGTTGTAAATCTGCATATGGCTGTTTGTACCCAGTGATAAAATATTCTTTTAGCTTTTTTAATGGTTACAGTAAAATTCTCCATGATGTACATCACAAATAGTAATTTTCAGCTAGAAATATTGATGACATCTTGCCTATGGCAATGAACAGGTTTTAATACAACAATAAAGCATGCCCCTTTTTCTTAATTAGTCTCCATTGATTAAACATGCAGATTATTTACAAAAAGCCTAACACCATGGAAAGGAAGAATAACTAATGCAATGGCTGTATTCCCAGGATCACATGCAATTCATCTCCACAAAGCTAGCTGAGCCTCTATAATCTCAAGGCATTTATGAAATAATAAGGAGAAAGCTTTAGGTTAAGCATATTTAGTAGAAAAAGTATTTGTTTAATTTGTTTCTTATGATGAAATTCTCCTATTCTTGAGGGAAAATGAAAGCACTCAATGAGTTAAAGCCATAGATATCTTGCAGTAAGATGTAAGAAGCCTTGTCAGATCACTAATGGAAACAATCTTTATGATGCTGAGATTTTGTAACTTATAATTAAACTTCACAGTCCAGCCCCTGTAACCTGTATCATCCTCACATGCCCTGTTTTA